TTTCTTTTGCAGTTAAGAAATCACTCCCCAATCTAAACCACACCTAAAGTGGCCACCCATCCTCTGAGGAATTTATTATGGATCTTTTGAGAAGTAAAAATTGCATGTATTTAGCATGTTTTGATGTATGCATACATAAGAAAATGTTTGCCACTATCAGGCCAATTAACATCCATCATTTCAAATAATAATCATTCTTTTTGTTCATGGTAAGAACACCTCCTCAACTCTAAGTAATTTCAAGAACACAAGACATTATTACTAACTCTAGGTACTCTGCTATATGATAGGTCTACAGTAATTTTTCATTTTAGAACTGAATGTTTGTGCCTTTTGACCAATGTAATGTTTTCTCTCATACCCTAATCTCTTGAAATCCTATTCTACTCTCTCTTCAATGAATTTGATCATATTCTATTTTTTTGTTCCATGTACGAGTGAGCCAGAGTATTTTCTGGGTCTGGCTTATTTCATTTAGCATATCTTCCAGGTTCATGAATGTTGTTGCAAGTTGCAAGATATACTTCTTGTCAAGAGGTAAATAATACTACATTTTTATACATGCACCATATTTTCTTTATCCATTCATCTGCAGAAAAACATCTTTTTTATATCTTGGCTGTCTAATGGCAGTGTAACTGTCTCCTGAGCTAGTCATTTCCTTTGGATATGTGTACAGAAGTGGGATGTTGGATAATATGGTAGTTTGTATTTAACTTTCTGAGAAATATTTACCTTGTTCTCTGTAGTGGTTATATTTTTCTAGAAACATTCCCTAGTAATTGAACATGTTGAAACATTCCCTGTTCTCCCCGTGATTGCCAGCACTGGTCATTTTTTGGATGTTTTTACATAGCCATCCTGAGAGGTGTTGAGGTGAGATCACTCATTGTGATTTTGGTTTTTGCATATTTCTCTGATGATCAATGATGTTGAAAATCTGCTTATATAACTGCTAGCAGTTTGTATGACTTCTTCAAAGAAGCATCTGTGCAGATCCACTGCTGATTTTTAAATTAGTGCCTTTTCCTGCTATTGGTTTGTATGCATTCCGTATCTGTTTTAAATATTAACCCCTAACCAGAAATGTGGGATACATATATTTCTTCACATTATGTAAGTTTGCTTTTTATTTTGTCATTTTGTTGGTTGCTTTTTTGTTGTGGAGAAGATATTTAGCTTGGTATGATATTATTTCATTATTTTGTAACTGTTATCATGCTTTTGCAGTCAAATCCCAAAAAATTTGCTAACGCCAAGGTCAAAGAAGTTTCCCCTATGTGTTTATTTGTTTATGGGCTTTTTATAAGGTAGGCTCTCACTTTGTATTGTAGGCTGTCCTTGACTCACTATGTAGCCCAGGCTGGCCTCAATCTTACGATGATCCTCCTGCCTCAGCCTCCCCAGTGCTGGGATTACAGACATACACCACCATACCCAGTTTACCCTATGCTTTGAAGGAATTTTATAGTTTCAAGTGTTAAGGTAAGTCTTCCAAGTTCACTTTGAATTTATTTTATTCTCTTTCCTATTATTTTATTATTTATTTACTGTAGTGAAAACAATTCAATATAATTTTTGCACATGCATGTTCAGTTTTTCCAATACCTTCTGTCACTTTTCCACTGTAGAGACTTGGCTTTTCTATTAAAAATTAACTGACTATATGTGCATGGCTTTATTTCTGTGACCTGTGTTCTGTTCCATTGAAAAATTATTTTTGCATCTGTTTTATGCCCATACCATACTGCTTGATTAGAATATCATTATCATATAGCTTGAAATTAGTAAATATAAAGCTGTTAGATTCATTCTTCTTGTTCAGGTTTGCCATCAGGGTCTTTTGTAGTTCCGTTATAAAAAATTTATAATTGTTTTATCTATTTCTGTGAAAAATGCCATCAGTATTTTGATAGGGCTGTATTATGGCTTGTGTCTAGATGTCCCAGCAAAGCCTAATTCAGTCCTAGGTGGGGTTTTTCAGAGGTGGCTGCATCTAGGGTATATGATGCTGGGATCAAGGATGTGAGGCTGGGGTTGATTCATGGTGCTATACTAGGAGCCTGGATAAAACATGAGATAGAAAGAGAGCTGTTGTTTGTTGCTTGTTTCTTGTTGCTTATTGCTTGCTACTTATTCCCTTCTGCCTGCCTACTCTGTGATGCCCCTCTGCCATCCCACTCTGTCTTGGAATCAGCCAGCTATGAATCAAAACCTCTGCAAGCTGTGAGCTACAATAAACTTTCTTCCTACTTGGGTACCAGGTCGTTTTTCTCAGCAATGAGAAAAGTAACCAAGATAGGATTGCACTGAATCTGTACATCACTTTGGAAAATATGGACACTTAGCAATATGAACTCTTTCTTCCTATGATATACAGTATCTTTTTATTTATCTCTGTTATCTAAAATTTTCATTGTAAATGTTTTAAAATTTTCATTGTAGAGATCATTCATCTCCTTAAGTTTACTTTAAACAATTTTATTCTCTTTAATTTTCTTGTACATTTTATTTGGCTCTTGATTTCTTGTTAAGATAGTTTGTCCTTGATGTTTATAAATGCTGCTGATTTTTTGTATGTCAATTTTGTGTTGTGCAAACTAACTGCATTCACTTAGCAGTTCTGACAGTTTTTGGTGGCATCTTTACAGTGTTCTATGTATAATGTCATGTTAAAGAGACATTCTACATCCTCTTTCCTATTTGAAAGTCCCTTCTGCCCCTCTCCTTCCTTCTCTTACTTCATAGCTTTGGCCAGTACTTCTGCCCTATGTTGCGTAGGTGTGGTAGGAGTGGCCACCCTTGCTGGGACTGGAACACCATGGTCTTGCTGAGCAAGGTCATTAGCTAAGGTCCAGTTATAGCATGGACAGAGGCAAGAGGCTGAGAAAATGAACTCCAAGGCTGAGTCATGGTGCAAAGCTTAGACCTCACTTTGTAGACGGGCACCTTAGAACAGCTCCTGAAGGAGGCTGGCCAGGTACAAAGAGAAATCAATCTGGTGGAATACCCTTTGTGGACTGACTTGGGTTTGAGTGATGACCTGCCCAAAATAACTTCCGCAGTTGACTGATTGGGCAACAGCAGCAAATGCAGTCCTGGATGAACATGGTGGAGAAGAGGTCTCATGCTGAGGGTCCCCTCCAGTTCAGGTCTACTCTGCAGCTCAGGGTTCCTCCCCTCCTCTGTGATTTGGAGATCATCCCTTCCTTGTTCCACTTCTGGGCTGGTAAGGTATCGAAAGTTTCCTCTGGGCCCATCATTTTTCACCCAGTTTCTTTTCATGGCCACTCATAATATGTGCAGCCCATAGCTGGCACGTTTAGTGGCTTTAGCAGCTACTGTTACTCTGCCAACCCCAGCAAAATCCCCACATCCTAGGGTTGGAGGAACTTCTGTAGTTATATCACCACTTTCATTTCTGAACCATTAGAACCATTTTCAGTCCAGGTTTAAAGCACCCTTCCTAAACGTTGTCAAAAGGGCTGCTTTCCTGGGAGGGAGATGTTTCTGAACAGCATTCCCAGGTCTCAAGTTCAGGGCCACTAGATCTACCCAGTCTGGTCAGGGGCCGCTTTGTTTCTCTTTCATCCACTTTCTCCTTCAGTGGCTATTTCCAGGCCTGGTAAAGTACATGACATCTCTCAGAGGAAAGTTTGCCCTGTACTGATGTTTAACTTCATGGTCAGGCCACACTGTGGTGAACAGAGGGACCAGTGAAGACTGGGGTGTTGGGTCACACTCTGCTCCAAGGACAGAGGACTACAAAGTGGCCACATGGTATGGCAGGGTACCCTATATGCCTTCAGCTTCCTGCTCAGGGACCAGGAGTATTTGAGAGCTGCTCATGGCAATGCTTTGTGATAGGTAAAACTTGGGTGCAAACAGGGAGCCACCTTGCTAGTAGAAGCTCACCAAAAAAACCTTTTTTGCCAAAAAACAATGACTGTGTGAGCCACTTGCACCAATGGCCTCTTAAATTGTCCAGCTATGATTATGCTTGTAACTATATTTTCAAAATACCAAGTGAAAGGATGACACATTAACCACAAAACAAGCTTATTAAATTTATATCCAAGTAGTTCAAATAATTTCCATTTATTTATTTATGTATTTATTTTAATTTTAAAGAGATTAAAACCAAACCAAACCAAACCAAATCAAACCAAACAGTGAAAGTGATATAGGACTTCAAAACAAGATAGTAGGAAATCAACTATGGCTACTATAGTATATCTTGTTATCTTCAAAATAGCTACCTGGACCATCAGACATAATAAAACAAAACAGCCAGGTGTGGTGGCACACACCTTTAACCCCAGAATTTGGGATGCTGAAGCGGGAGGATGGTAACAAGTTCAAGATCAGCCTGGGCTACAAGGTGAGGTCAAGGCCAGCCTGAACTGCATAGTAAGACCCTGTCTCAAAAAGACAAAGACAAAACAAAATAAAGCAGAATAAAACCAAAGTAAACAAAACAATGGAAATGATACAGGACTTCAAAGCAAGATAATAGGAAATCAATAATGGCTAACATAATGCTTCTTGTTATCTTCAGAACAGCTACCCAGACCATCAGACATAGGCATGTTCCATCAGACATAGGCATGTTAAATTAGCCAAACAATACAAGAACTAAGTGGAAAGCTCAGATGTGTGCCCTTTAATTTCTACCATTTCTGTGTCTCCTGCAACTTGTTCTGTGTGGGCTGGAGGTCTGAGATTATATTTTGCGCATTTGTCTTGATATTTTCCTGTATTTCTCCAGATCAGAGATACTTTCCGCATTGGCTGCCAGTCCCTTGGTAGGCACCTGTGCTGGGCACCTGGGTATCTCTCATCTGGGGCTCCTGGAGTAGTGGAGAGGCATAGGACAGTGGTTCATCAATGTTTCCACGATGGCTTGGGGTCTCAGATGGTGTTGGACTCACTGGATCTCCAGCCAGCTGGCAGCAGAACCTCATGGTGTGGGTTCTTCTCTAGGCTCACATTGGGCTCTAAGATATTTCTTTCTAGTGAATTGACCACAACATTCCCAAAGTTCTGAAATGGCCAACAGACTCTAGAAGACTTGTATGTAAGCTTCTGTTTGAAACTAGCAGCTACAACAAACTGCTGGCCTTGATTCAGGGCCAAAATTTCATTTATTCATTGCATAACATATTTTTGAAAAGTTTAGATCTTGAAACAGAGGAAAAAACTTTTGACCTATGTAGATTATTGTTTAGTGCCTTCACCTTCTAAATATAGAATATGGATACTTAGGTAATAGTTGATGGGTCAGACAGAATACAACAGGTCAGATGCAAATCTTGACTCTTCACTTAATGCCTAGGTCACTGCAGGGTAATCATACTACTGAAATTTCAGCCTCTTGATTAGTAAACCAATTGGGAGAAAAAATTATATTTTTATTGTAAAAATTAAGGTGACAATTTAGAAAATTGTGTAGAATTGTACTTAAACTACACTAAGGTTTCAAGAAAAGAGAACCATTATTGTTGGATATTTGTGCAGGTAAATGAATATGCCCTCTAACCAAAATTTCTGTTGCTGAGAAGATGCTAGAATTCTTTAACATATTTGACTAAAAACTATGAAACACGTAAAGCTCATATTTGATTCTCTTTCCATTTAACTTTCTTTCCAACCTCAAACTTTTTCTATTAAAATTTACTCTCAGTAAAGAAGAAATGAATTGTGTTACAGTAAGAGTTGGATTTGAGGTTACTGAAACAGATATCATCATCGTTTTGTACCTACAGTATGAACTTATACAGGTATTCAAACTCTGTGAGCTTTAGGTTCTTCATGAACAGACAGGGAATGTAATCAAAGTAACTTTTATGAGGCTGGGTTAAGTGATGATTTATGTAAGAATATTTTTCAAATATTAAATGTCATTTTTATTGAACTAGAAGATAGTTCATGCATTATGAAACTTACAGAGATTTGAAAGGTTATTAACACAGATACTCACACTTTGACGTGAATCCATCTTTAAAGTCATGGGGTGATGTTGCAGCAGCAGAACTAGAAATAACCATCATTGCCATACTTGAGTCTAATGTTTCTAGGACCTCCAATCAGTCCCTCCCACAAGAATGTCTTTTCTTATTTGTGTCTTTCCCTTTTATTCTTTCATTTTCCTCTGTTACTTTTTTATGACCTAGTAGTTTTGTGCTTTTGTCTCTGGAATCTTGGTTATGATGTCAAGCAGCATGGCTGAGATGCTTAGTTCCGTCGATGACATGCTGATGCTTCCTTTCTTCGATGCCACTCTAATCCAGTGAAACCTCGGTTCGCGAACTTAATTCTTTCCACAGTTCTGGTTGCAAACCAGATTGGATGAGAGTTGCATCAGATTTCTCCATAAGGGCCACACTGAAACAATCACTGAATTTGATTCTCTTTTCATCCAACTGAGTTTGGAACCAGAATCATGGAAAGAATTAAGTTCCTGAGCCGAGGCACTATCGTAGTTTTGCCATATCTTAGCAGGGAAAGACCTCATATTGGAAACTCTAGGTCCTACATTAAGCACATTTGTTCGTGATCTTGTTTTCTTCAAATATCATGGAAAAGTAATTACTGTATAAAAATTAGAGATGGGTTTGAGATGCCAGGGCCATAGCTAATTCAAACAGCAGGGTAAACTTTTCCTCTGCATGTCATTGAGCACAATGACATTGCAAAACTTTGAGGATCATTGATTTAGAAAACAGTGTCACTTCAAATTAAGTCGTTGATCTCTTTGACTTGCTAGGAATCCAAGCCCATCTCCATGTATTGCTATGATATACCCACTGCTTCAAACAAGTTGTGATAAACATCAGCACTTATACCTGGAAGAACAATGGTCCTAAGAAATGAACTAGAAAGAATGCCAAAATGTCCTACCAGAAATTTCCAAGCTAGGAAGGCACCAAAGTCCTGAAAACTCCAGAAGGCTACTTCCTACTGACCAACAGCCTTCCAAGAAGCAGGAAAGAATCCATGATCTGAGAGTTATTACCTAAGTTTTATGACTTTCTTTTCCCTAGGGCCCCAAGGGTCTACCTCTTATTACTACCTTCCAGAAAGCACCCTTCATGTCCTTATTTCTTAGGGTGTAAATCAGAGGATTAAGAATGGGAGTTATTATTGTATAAAAAAGAGCAACAAATTTTCCCTCCTTTTCAGAGTAACTGTTGATGGGCTGTAGGTATGTGTAAATGGCTGAGCCATAAAAAAGAAAGACCACCAGGAGGTGGGACCCACAAGTTCCGAAAGCCTTTCTGCGCCCAGATGTTGACTTGACCTTCAGAACAGCCTGAGCAATGTGTGCATAGGAGATGAGAATTAGTACTGCAGGAAGAGCAACAATTATGACTCGGGCCACGAACATCTTGGCCTCAGTTCCTCCTGTGTTCTCACAAGCCAGCTTGAGGAATACAGGCATTTCACAGAAGAAGTGGTTCAGGTGGTAGCCACAGAGAGGCATGGTCATCACAAGACCTGTTTGGATCAGGGAGTTTATGAAGCCTCCCACCCAGGAGGACATAGCTAGAGCATGGCAAAGCTGGGAATGCATGATGGTTGTGTAGTGGAGTGGACGACACACAGCAGCATAGCGGTCAAAGGCCATCACCACCAGGAGCACACACTCAGTGGAACCTAGGGAGAGGTAGATGTAAAGCTGTGCCAAGCAGCCCCCATAGGTGATGGTGCGGTCCTGTCCCTGAAGGTTGATCAAGAGCTGGGGCACAGTGCTGGTGGTAAAACAGAGGTCCAGGAAGGAGAGGTGGGAGAGGAAGAAGTACATTGGGGTGTGCAGTTGAGGGTCCAGTCCGCAGAGGGCAATGATGGAAGTGTTGCCCAAGAGAGTTAGGGAGTAGAAAATTGAAATAAAAACAAATAAAAAGAGTTCCAGTTGAGGCCAATCTGAGAAGCCCACCAAAATGAAGCCATCTCTGAAAGTGGTGTTGAGACTTCCCATAACCTTTCACCTGCATGAATTCCATTGAACAAGTTAATGGCTCCCATGAAAAATATGGGTTAAATACTATTTCACAGTATTCTCCAAACACTACAGATTCATGCATTTTTCTTTCTATTTGCTATTGCATTCTATCTTTTTATTTTTTCTTTTCTGTTTTTTAGACAGGAAATTACTGGATTAGGAATGATATAACCTTTCTTTGAACCCTAGTCTTCTGCTTGTTTTGTTTTGTTTTGACTTTAACTGGGCCATTAAATCTTTTGGAACTGATTTTACTTGTATAAAAATAGAAATGATCTGTTACCTCTCTGACAGCACTGGATTGTGAAAATTTCCTTTTAAAAACCATTGTGTACTGCATACCCATGTTTATTGCAGTTCAATTTACAATAGCTAAGCTCTAGAAATAATCTAGGTGACCATCGTAGTTGAATGAATTAAAAATGTGCCTTCTCATATGCCGTATTCCTAGTTTGACTTTAACTTTGGATTTCCTACTAATATTTCCATACACTAGAGCAGAACTATGTCTGTTTTGTTCACTGTTTTAGTGCTAGAACATGACTGCCATATAAAAAACCGAATAATTGTCTCTGGTGTCTGCAGCATGGACCTGCAGTAAATTTTCACAGGACCTTAGGAAGGAATGAAGCCTTATCTGAACCCAGCATTGGGCTCCAATGTTTTTCCCTCATTCTTAGCTCTGCATCTCATAAACCAAATGCAGTCTGGTCCTGTTCCAATGGCTCAGGGCTTGGGCAGCTGTGAGCATTCATGTGCAGAGTTCCAGTGCCTGCAAGTGAGAGAGGATAAAGACTGCACTTGGATGTGCACAGAACATTCACAAGGCTCTCTCCAAATAGCCATTCTCCTTTATTGAGGGAAGTGACAAAGATACCAAGCTTTGCTGGATTCTCTATTCCAAAAGTTGTAGTGATATTTAAAAAAGATTATTCTTTTCCTGTTTCCTAACATTATTGCACCAAAAACTATGATATTAAATTCATATAACTGGGTTATAGTGCTTCATCCTATCAATTTCCAGGACAGCTATCCTTCTTCACATTCAAAGGGTAGTGTGATAGTCTACAGCATTTAGGCAGGATTCCGAGCAATATTCAAATTCTTGGTCATCAACTTGGATTAAAATCTTCACAAAACACATAGAATAAAGGATTGCAGTCCTTTAAACATAAAATTTCTGAAAACCTACATGAGAAACACATGTTTTAAATTATGTTTTCAGATAATAAAAGAATGCTTAAGGATAAGCTTGAGAGCTTGTGTCCATGTTTAAAGGTCCATTTTATGGAAAAGACAGCAAATTTCTCTGTTTTTCTCCAAAGGTCAAACACCAGGACCATACCAAAGGAAAGATTAGGCTCAAAACAGAGAACTTAAAATACAGTGAGGCAGTTTAAGTACAGACTAAATATATACTTCTTGGAAAGGAAGTGATAGCTGGTTACTTGAAAGTTTCATTCAGAGGCTAAAAATTGAATTTATGGGATGTTGTAAAATGTTCTAGCATTAATTGGAAAGTTGGGTTGAATGGTTTCAAGCATCACCCTGGAAAGTATGTTTATTCATTTCTAATCTTAAATTATCTTTTTTGGATTTAACCCTTAGTCTTAATTTCCTTGATGCACTTGAAGGTTTTTGACCTTTTCATGCTTAAATACTATTGATTTCTGGATTAGAAAGATCATTGTTTGCATCTGTATCTCTTTGTTTCTGTCTGTGTCTGTGTATATCTGTGTCTGTGTATGACATCCGAAAGTAATAGATTCTTAAAATCAGAAATTTTGGCAATTTTAGCACACATTATTAGATACTTCATGCCAGCCTGATGTAATGATATTCTTTTACTGCATGGGAACCTACTGAGGCCAGAATGTTCTATTTTCTGTGTAAGCAAAAGAGATTGTACAAACTCTTTCCTAATCACTTTTACTGGTAGCACATTCAGTCTAAATCTAGGCTGTGTGTGGTGGCTCATGCCTGTAATTTCAGCACTCAGGAGGCTGAAGCAGGAGGTTCACTGTGAGTTCAAGGCCAGCCTGGGCTACAAAACCAGTTAAAGTCCAATTTGAACTGTATACTGAAACCCTGTCTAAAAAAGACAAAAAATTCAGAATTTAATTTTCCTTTTTCT